TGACAAAATTGAGCATCCAATCGTCTTAACATTGCACTTTAAAAATGTCTGAAAAGTAATTATAATTAGATAATTTGTTACAATGTTATGTAGAAATGATTGGACATTACCATAATCTGTTAATCTATTTCTCAATTAAATTGTACGCGTACAAAATACGTAGTACTGGTGCAGTACATTACAATTACGATGTATATCGTATACAGCAAAGCAAAGTATCAAGTGTTTTAATTTTCAGGTGATATGGATGAAATTTTCACCAAGTATTACAAAGTTTTTTTTTTTTTTGATAAAATCGGCAACCTCGTAAGCACATAACATTGTTATATTATAATAATATGATACACTAAGTATCAATATTTTTCCAAAGGATCGGAGATAATATTTGTTCATCTTGAACCAAAATTAAACTTTAAACTGTTTCTTGTTCCGTGTATTATTATAGCTACCTATTGAATTTCGTAAAATATTTTCATTTATTCTGTTTTATCAACATTAGATTCTAGGCTAAGATTACCAACAAAAACCCATCACATATAATGTCAATAAAGACAACTTTTTGATTACATACAGTAGCAATATGCATTAACAAAAACCTAAAATGAGTTTTCCTTGTGTATGCTTGTGTAACTCTAGAAGTTACTGTGTGAAATTGTAAAACTAAGTAAGCAAAATGAGAGTAGGTATTCGTTTTACACACCGCGTAGACCATTATATAATTTTTAATATATGTGAGAATATCTATGAATTATTATATAATATGTAAATAATAAGTATATTATACTGTTTTATACTGTCTTTATATTCACGTTTTTTTTTTTTTAACTTTTAACTTTTAAAGCGTAATATGCAACGATTTCTTTTTAAATAATAAACTATTACCCCTTAAAATAAAATCTTTTATTATATTTTGTTAATAGTATATAATTTTATTTAAACATTTTACGATTATTCCAATTAACTTTCAATCATCTTCATTAATATTGAAAACAGTTTGTAAATATTTAGTTGCAGAATAATAGTGATTGAAGGTTATGATGAGAGATAATAAGTTCATCAAATTTTGAATAGAAAAAATAACAATATTGATTACTGATTAAGTATTCATAACAGACAAGTGGATATTAAAAAAAATTCACCCATTAAAAATGTTTTTTTGACATACCAACATTTTTTGACCATACCCATTAATAAAAAACAATTATGGATTACAAAATACACCTGCAGTGTATAATGTTTGTTTTATTACATTTAATTTTTTTTACTATAAAATTATTCATATTAATAGTTTTTATTTCAAACGTATTATCACAGACTGGTCGTAGCGTTAATTAAATCCTATTATAAAAGACTCGAAATCTCAAATTGATATGAATCTCATTTTGAAACTTTCAGAGCTTACTTAATAAATATTCTCGAACTTACAGATTTTTAATATATTTTACATGATTAATTTTTATACAATGATAAAATAAATAATAATTATATTTAACAGAAAACCACCATTCAATCAACAATACATTGTATTTTACACAGTTGGGTGAGTTGGTACATGTATTCAAAAAGTACATCGTCTGAAACACGACGAATATTTTACGTGGAATAAGACGAAAAAGTATAATCTATATTAGTATTATCCTTATGAATAAAACGAGAGCACGTTCTAAATCACAGTTTATTTGTTTTTATTTAGATAGTAAATATTCTACTGGGTTTTCTTGTATCCTGGGGTCATATAATCTCGTTAACTAAATATGCCCCATAATGTAGTTATAAGTCTTAAATTTACGTTGATTGGGGCTTACTAATATTGAGACGAGAAAATTATAATTCCCTTGTTTAAAATTTTCGTGTTTGGTTATCGAAAACATGTATATAATAATTTCATATATTTAGTTTTAGATTACGTTTCGTAATTATCTACATTTTTCATGAAAATACACTATTCAACATTTCAATATTCAATAGCATAATATATACCTAAAAATACATAACAACCAATGAATGTAGTTTTTTTAGCTTTATAAAAAACGGTTATTATTTATTTAATTATATTGACGGTTTATATACGCCACAATCATAGAATAACATGCGCATCGTGTGGAAAAATAAAAATTTAATTTGAGCGATATAGTAATAATTTTTACGGAATAAAAAAAAGGAAAATGTATCCAAGGCACAAATTACTGACTCTACACGTGTGTATATTAATGTGGTTATTATTTACTGAACAATGAAGAAATCGAAACATGATATAATACACAGACATTCTCGGTTATTTCTGGTACACAATTTCGTTCCACATTAATTTCAATGTTTCTCAATTATAGTTGCGTGGATAACGCAGTATTGTATTAAATTAAAAATAATTATAACCACAGACGCCCATAATAGTAATGCAAATCAATTAAATCGAACACCTGAAATCTTAGAATCAAATTTACGCGTTGTTAATAGTCTAACACTTTGAAATGTGTGTGCTGCAAGTTAGTCGGTCATAATATAGTATTTGGGGTATATTATTTCGACAACTACGATCCAAATAACCGTGAGCTCTAAAACATTGCCATGTACCGTGTTCGAACCCAAACTATAATTAAACGCGAGGCTATCTTCTAAATTCGTGTGATACCTACGCAATTGATAAACGATTAATATACGAGGATTCTCGTTTGAGAATCTGTAATATATCAATAAACAATGGTATCTAAAACATTATTTAATTCAAGTTAAAATAATTCAATACTGCAGCTCAAATATTAATTCATTATTATAAAATTCATTCATCACCTGTATTTCAAAATTTTTTTACGACCTTTTATATTCATAAAATTTACAATACGTTACGTGTTTGTAGACTTTTATCCTAGTAGGTAAATAACGTTTATTTATAAGGTTAAGTTTTCGGCTAATACTTCGAATTCGAAGACCAAAAGATAGACAATTCGATTGAAATTCTGTCAGATGCTTGACAATCCATTTAAGGTAAATGTAATGCTTACAAAAATAGTATGCCACTTAAAGTTTATACCCTTCGACAAGAATACACATCTTTTGGATCTCGTATTTTTTATCGCTAACCCTTTAACACTGGAACAAATTTTAGCTAAAGCATCAAACCCCGTTTCCGGTATGCTAAATATCTATTGTCATAGTATCACATTCCTCCTGAATGCGTCTCGTGAAGGCAATTTGAGTACCCAGAAGTGGTAAATTCCGACAAATTTATTTCTAAAAAATTTCACACAAAACAAAGCATTATATAAGGACATGAAGAATGAGTAAGGTTGTAATGTCTGTACAAGTGTGGGTTTATAATGGATAGCGATGACATAGCTCATAACATTTACTAGAAAATAAAGCCGWACAATATATATTATTTTTTGTAGTATATTTATAAACGTTTTAAGTTGGTAGGTACTTAAATATTATACCATCTACTAGAGAATATTTCATCGAGTTTATGAATTATTGTGTTTAGCTTTATATTTCTGTACACAAAGTTCATAATAATACCTACATGATAAGATGTTAAGCTTCAGTAAAAAACAATATTGTTTTTTGAAAATAAAACTGTACTGTAAGTAGTACATGTATGAAAATGTAATTAAAACACTAAGACCAAACAAAAATATTAATGGAATCCCTGTCAATATGGCTGTTATAGTCGTAAATTGTCGGATATGTGTCTTCAAATAATATACACGATTCCAGGATTTCTATTTAAACTGATAAACAGCGTGTTGATCATAAAATATAGCATAATTTGTTACCTATACATTTAGTTTTATTCTTTAAACGATACTACGATATATTCAAACAAACTACCTAAAAATGCAATATTTTATTATTATAATAATAATTATGAGTATAATATTATTAAACCATGATAATATAGTATAATATTATAGTGTATAATACTGGAAAATGAAMACATGTACCCTATTTGCCTATCTATGACGCCGTGTGACAATAATAGAAGCATAATAATTATTATCAAATACATAATATTGTATTCCATGATCTCAATATTTTCATTCGCGATGCTCACATCATATTTAAAGCATTTAATGATATTTTTATTTTTGTTTCACAGATCCCAATGAGCATGGATAATTGCGCGGCACTAATCGTTCAGGACCAGAAGTACTGTTACTTCCGAAAAGCAGTGCACTTTTGGGCGCAACAGGCACTTTTGCCAGCTGTTGTGGCCGTTGGTGTGGTGGGTAACATGCTGTCCGTGGTCGTACTCACCAGAGAACCGATGAAGAGCTCCACCAGYACATATCTGACTGCCYTGGCTGTATCCGACTTGTTCTATTTGCTGTTTGTGTTTACCATATCCTTTGAAAACTATCCGTGGATAGTCGAGGCCGATTACTACATTTACTGGAAATGGTATCCTTACGGACTATGGCTTACCGACGCTGCTAGTAAGTTTATTATACTCTACTTATATAAAATTTTATGAAGTAACTATAAATCTTGTGCTTTTGTGATATAGTATGTATATTGCGGTGTTCAATTAAATGCATTAAGTGGCATTCTTATTTTTCAAAGCTGTGTTTTTGCTTTACTACATCATTTCTACATAWATTTACTGATAAGGATATTTTTACAGTATAAATTTATCAATACATGTTCGTTATTTAAATTTCCAATAAAAAAAAATACCCTAAATTTAATTTYGCTTTTGTTCTCATCTAAAATTTAGAAATAGCGTCTCATAAACCCAGTGCAGTCGGTAAACTTGATAAACCATACTTAATCTAACTGTACATTAAATAAATCATTAACTAAAAATAAGTGTTTTCGTGTTCTAAAAAAAATCATTCAGGTAATAAATAAAGATAATTTTAGTTAAGCTACTGGTTACCATCAAGTATTCAAATTGTTGGGTAAACTTTAAAGCTAAGGCCGTAGGTGGGTTGATATGGGACGTGTTTACATATATATATATATCAGTATATTATGATTGTTCAGAAGGTACCAAGAACAAAACTTGTGCAAAGGTACTCGCTTTATGTATGTATATTGGTCCTGAATAATCACCGAAACTACTGACTCGATTTCCATGTGGTTTTATTGTACATTGTTAATAATTCTTCAAAGTAGAACAAAGTGYGGCTATATAATATAGGTAATACCGACCTAACTCCTTCTTTCTAAAACTAAGCGGTGAATAAGGAATGAAACTTTGGCATCATCTCTTTTGGTTTTTATAGTTAATTAAATTTTTATAAGAACTAATCAGAGTGARGTTATCTAAATAATACAGTAGTCTATAATATATGTTGCGTATTATAATATTATGTATAATAAGTTTGTGTACATTTGAAATAATTACTATTATTCGGTATCACGAGCCATAGCGCAGATAATAAAAAGCGGGTAA